AGGTTCGGTATTAGGATGTTTACTTGAACAAAGATGTAAATAACAAATACCAGAGCGAAGAGTGCTAGTACACATTTTTGTCTTAGTTTATCGATTAAGAGATATAACAAAATCAGTTAACAAATACTTGGCAAGAAGTTTAACGGATTCGAACTTCGTTTCTGTTACTTTACAAGACAAAATAAACCGCCATTTTGTCACATCGGCCCCGCATTTAAGATGGACGGATAGTTGAGCATTGAATTGCACAAAGGTCCATATTTAGTTATTTGCTGGCTGATAAAGATCACACGAAAACTGATTACATTTCCAGGCAGATAAGCAAGTCAACATAAACCCACGACAATCATCCACGTGGAAACAACGGTTAGCACAATCTGTTTCCTGCGACACCTGTGCAGTAGCTATTCGTGTCAGATGTTTGGGAACCTCCTCGAGCTTCGGTGGCCAAACACGTTCGAACAGCATTCTTTCGGGATCTTCGGATCTGTACATGTTGACGTAACTGGTATTGAAAACTTCGCTGACAACATAGGCCATCTGAAGTGCTGGCATTGAAAAGAAAACAAGAGAGCTTTAATGCAGGAAACACAATCATTTATAAAAAGATAATGAATATATAGGAGATAGTTTCCTTATCTTAACCCGGAACATACGGACAATACCTTACCAAAGTTTGTATATAAATTATGATAAACCATGTCAATATTTAATTGATTATCATTTTCGATAGGTTCTAATTTATTGCAGTGATTCAACGAAAAACACAAATGTTTAGCTGCATGTACATATTTTGACGTTGGTTGTTTCGAGTAACATTGATTTATACGATGGACGATACCAGCTAGACATTTTTCAATTAATTTCATGTTAATCAGTGTACAGTCTTGTGTAATTCAATTTTTGATAGGGAAAAAAAATGATCAAAAGTGAACCACACAAAAATTATCTATTGATCACATGTGATTAAAATACATGGGTTTTTTTCAGGAGTATATAAATATCATATTTGTGTTTTTTAAAACAATTGTTTTCCTATGAAAACGCAAAGTTCAAATCATACATGTATATACTATCACATCAAAACAATGATGGCATACAGCTTCGATTTACATTGAACATGATATTGCCATATATACTTCAAAACTGTAATTTCTCAAAAAAGTTCATCCGAAACAGCAGTAGGCTCTGACAAATTTCCATGTAAATATCACCGCGAAAAGCTGCAGGCTCCTTTCCGGTGATTTACCCTCAAAAAGTAGCATTCTCTGAACATTACAATAAAACAGCGCAATACATTGACATGATTTGCCTTAAGGCGTTACAATGAAACAGCACGATACTTTGATTAATCTGCCTTAAGACGTTACCATGAAACAGCACGATACTTTGATTAATCTGCCTCCGTGCGTTACCATGAAACAGCACGATACTTTGATTAATCTGCCTCTAAGCGTTACCATGAAACAGCCCGATACTTTGAATAATCAGCCTCTAGGCGTTACCATGAAACAGCACGATACTTTGATTAATCTGCCTTCAGGTGTTACCATGAAACAGCACGATATTTGATTAACCTGCCTCCAGGCGTTACCATGAAACATGTTTCACCATACTTTGATTACTCTGGCTCTAGGCGATACCATGTAACAGCATGATACTTGACCTCCGTCTAATTTGTTCCCGCAATATCAGTTATGAGTGGTCACATTTGGAAATAACGCCTTCCTGACTCTGATATTTATTTGATGCCGATACTTTTTTGGAACTGACATTAACTAAGAACTGATATAAACTAAAAACTAATATCAAATAAGAACTGACAAATACTTTGAGTAGTTGACGCTGACATCTACTAGAAGCTGACATTTACTTAGATCTGACTCTTATTTGGAATAACACTTACATTTTTTGCATATGAATGCGGACATGCGTTCCTCACAGTCCCAAAACTGACGTTCTCCAGTTCCCTTAATAGTTCCACACAAGGGTAAATCAGTATCAGGCATATCTGCAGTGGTATGAAAAAAAGTATGAAATACCTCGTTATGATGGCTAATATCATGAATTGATGTTTTATTTTCAGTTCATATGATTAATGAGAAGTATTTTAGTCATTAACGTGATGATATAACAATATTTCTCGGTGGTATTACTTACTCAGAGATCGCAACTACAAAGCATTTATTACACTTTGAGAAATACAGCAACTAGGATAAGTCTAAAACGAAGAGTAAGAACAGGCTATGTAACAAAGATAATACCTTTATCCAAATAGTCAGAGAGCGATCCGTCGATCCAGCTATACCTCTGTTTTTTACCCTCTGGGTCGAACGTGAAGCCAAGCCATGACAGGTGAGCTTTGTCAGTTCCCTAAAGAAACGATAACAAAAGATCAGTAACATTCGACCCTTAGTTACTATTTTAAACACGTGATCTCCATTCCCGAATATGTGTATCAGAAAACTATTTATGATATATGAATTATCCAAAATAATTAAACGTATTGCTTTTCTGCATCTTGATAAAAAAAAGGAATTTCAAGGGCAGAAAACTTGCATAAGGAACATTAAAAAATGACCTTGTCTTCTTTTTTTGGAAGAAATGAAATCGTGACTAATTAAGCAAGAAGTGTTTTTGTAACTTCTATGAGTACAATGATTGTTTTGATTTGATATTGGACATATAGAGGTTTGCCTGCTATTTTTCATTTTAGAACCATTTTGTTGAAAAAAACGTGGCAAATGCATTTGTTTCTATTTTTCACTACTATCTAAAATCATTACCGTACAACACACTTACAGTATTGTAGGAGGACCATTCTATAAATTCTGTCACCACACAGCTCCCGTGCTAA